TAGAGGTTAAGATTTAGAACACATATTTTTTGGGGGCGGGGGTGGGGAGGCAGGGAGATACAATTCAAATCATAACAGTTGTTCTTTCTCCTCGACTCTCCTGGCACACACTGACAGATCTGTCAACATTCAGGTAAAATGTCACTGTCATAATTAAAATTCCCTTGGGGTTTCCACAGTATTGATTGCAGAATCAAGTGGAGAGAATTGCCCGTGGGTGTCTCTCTAGCCAGGATGGGAGGCTTAAAAGTATGTGCTTCCAGTATAAGCCACAAGCCTGGATCCACAATGTGTCCCTTCAAAAGGCACTCAATTTTTTTCTATCTTAAGTCTATTTGACTTGGGTTTCTTTCATTTACAACCCACAATTCCCTGAAATATATACTCACCTTCCTGCTGTTGCATGTCCAGGTGACTGCAAAAGTCCCCAGCAATTCCCAGCTCCCAAATGCCATTGGGGCACCCACAGTTACTTCCAGGGATTCGCTCCCCACCCCTCTCTTAAAATCCGTTTTATTAGCACTTCATCCACATATCATATAATTCAGTAATTCAATCACATCAAGAAGAGTTGTACATTTACCACCACATTCAATTTTAGAACATCTCCCTTGTACTCAGTTACTCTTGTAGTTATATTTTTCTAATTGTGACAAAAATATACACAACAAAGCGTGCTCCAATTCCACAGCTTCTACATGTAGAGTTCAGGGCCATTGATTATACTCGTAGTGTTGAACAACCATTATTGATCCCCCTTTCCAATGATCCCACCATCATTCACATAAACTCGATGCCCCCTAAGCAACACCTCGTTCTCCTTCACCCATGGTCAATTTTGGTTTCTTTTTCTTTTTTTAGTAGTCTTGATTCACATATACACTTTCATGGTTAAATCGCTTTTAAAAAGAGTTGTATATACATCATCACAATCAGTTCCAGTGCTCCCTCCCACTCCTGCAGCATTGCTTGCTCCCCAAATCCCCTCACGCACCCCACCCCCACTTCCCTGTTCATCCCCTTCGTTTGTTCCCTAGGCCCAGGGTTGCAGCATGGAGCACCAGAAAGAGCAGGCCAGGCATGTCCTCACTGACCAAGAACCTGTCCTCAGTGGGCCATTAGACAGGGAGAGCTCCTTGTGTCCATCGAAGGATGGCGCAGCTAGGTCCTGTGAGGCCCGATCTCAAACCCTTCACAAATGTTTGTCCACCACTCCTATTCAATATTGTGCTGGAGGTTCAAGCCAGAACTCTTGGCAAGGAAGAAACAAAATGCTATTTGTAGATGACATATGATTTAAAAATGACATATCATTTTAAAATACGATGACATATTTAAAAAACCCCAAAGATTTGCCAATCTGGATCAATACACAAAAAACAATCAGATTCCTGTATACCAGTGGTTCCCAACCTTCCTAATGCCGCCATCCTTTCATACAGTTCCTCGTGTTGTGGTGACTCCCCAACCATAACACTATTTTCGTCACTTCATAACTGTCATTTTGCTACTGTTATGAATCGGGTGACCCCTGTGAAAGGGTCATTTGACACCCCACCCCCAAAGGGGTTGCGACCCACAGGTTGAGAACCGCTGCTTATACTGAGTTCTGAAAACGAAATCAAGACAACAATACTACTTAGAACAGGTACCCACAGGATGAAATACTTAAGAATAAACTGAACCAGAGAAACAAAAGACTTACAGAGGTGGTACCCCCAAAACACTGGAAAAAAGCTCCGCTGGGCCGAGCTTTCATAGCACACATTTTCCTGCTAGGTGAGCATCGAGCAACTTTGAGTTAGTGCCCCCATGGTGTCTCCTGGGAAGGTTCTCTCTGGTCACAGTGAATTTTTTTCATAAAAGCAGTTTTGCTCGAACTTTGTTTTTTTATGATGGCCAATTTAAGAGTGTGTGGCTGTGAAATTTTGTTTCCTGCTCTGGAAAAATGCCACAGAAACTGTTATGATGTTGAACACAGCTTGTAAGGACAGCGGTATAGGAAAAACTCTAGTGTACGAGTGGTTTTCTCATTTCAAAAAAAGGTGAAATGTCAATTGATGAAACACACACACAAAGACAAGAAAAAAGGGGGGTGTCCGTCAACTTCCTGAATGGATGGAAATGTCCACTCATAGGGCATTTGGAGTTTGTTCCACCAGGTCACACTGTTAATCAAGCTTTCTACTTAGAGGTTCTGAAAGGATTGTGTAAAGTGCAACAAAAAGACCCAAATTGTGCGACCATGCACCTGCTCACACCACCATCTCAGTGCGCCAGTTTTTGCCAACAAACAGCATGCCTCTCTTGCCACGTACACCGGGCTCACCTGACCTCACTCCAAGCAACTTGCTTTTGTGTCCTCGAATGAAGAGAGACAAGAAAGGACAGTGATTTGACGATGTAGAAGAGGTGAAGAAAAACACAGAGGGAGGTGCTGTCAGCCCATCCAAACAGATGAGTTTGAAAAATGTTTCCAAGAATGGACTTGCAGATTTGACAAATGTATTAAATGTAATGGAGAGTACTTTGAAGGTGATAAGGTTGTTTTGTTAAAAAAAAAAAAAAAAGTAAATATATAGCTTTTAAATTTTTTTCTTTTTTTGTAGGGAGTACCCAATCTTATGCACATCTGCGTTTATGGCAGCATTATTCAGCCAGTAGCAAGAAGCTGGAAACCACCTCAGGGCCCATCAGTCGAAGAATAGATACAGAGCTTTGGGGCATACACACAACCCAGGAGGCTGCATCGCAGTGAGGACACTGTGAAGCACCTCAAACTTGATGCTGAGTGAAGTTAGTCCCCAAAAGATGAGTATCCTGTGAGACCATTGTTACAGAGGAAAAACCAAGGCAATGAGCTTCATGCCAAAAGAAAGAAGCTTTGATGGCTGTGGGGGGTGGAGTGGGGGATGGAAGGTAAAGCCAGGGAGTGAGAAACCAAACCAATCTCACTGGCTTCCAGGTGATGCCTACTCATAGGACAGGGTAGAATTGCCACTGTGAATTCTGAGGCAGTAACTCTTTAAAAAAAATTTTTTAAACCATTTTACTGGTTACAACTCTTATCACAATGCATCCATCCATCCATGCATCAATTGTGTCAAGCACATTTGTGCATTCGTTGCCCTCATCATTCTCAAAACATTTGCTCTCCACTTAAACCCCTGGCATCAGCTCCTCATTTCCCCCTCCCTCCCCACTCCCCCCACCCTCATGAACCCTTGATAATTTACAGATTTATTTTGTCATATCTTTTTTTTCTTTTTCAGAATCATACTTTATTTATCAATCTGGTTTTGTTTGTTTTAGTTTGAAGTCTTGCAAAACAAGCGGTAAATCAAAGGCTTGTTCACCCTCCTCTGAGTCTGTGTGGTTACACGTCTCTGTGTGGACCAGTATGCTTATAGATGCTTTTTTAAAAATACTCATTATAGCCCCATTTTAATTAAAATGCGTCCATAAAGTTTTACTATTCAAGCAAATGTAAGAGCTGAATGAAATATCCCTGAGTGTAACACTCTATTCTCCCAAGCCTGCTTCCTTTCCTCCCTCCCACAGGGCTGGTCTTCGGCCCCAGTTAATGCTAGGTCTTCAGAGACCTCCACCAGTATGCATACGCTCTGTGAGCTTAGGTCTCTGAGTCCCCTGACCACCCGGACCCCAAAGGCCTGCTGGGGCGCTTCTCTGGGGAGCTGGGCTGGGGGTGGGGTGAGGCGTGTCTTGGCACTTCCTCTTCAGAGTTGCGTTTCCTTGGGGATGTGTAGTATTAAATTAAATATGGCGAGGAGGTGTAGGGCCAGCCCCCACCGCTAATCGTGGGTTCAGTAATACTACTTCTGGGTTCAATAATGCACAATTGTATGGTTGAGATATATAAGTATTATATTAAAATCATCGAGAGCACGAGAGATATTACAATAATGCAGTCAGACACGTTACATGGTAGCATTGCTCACCTCCACCCCGCTTGGTGGTCCTTGTGGGGGGAACCCGGCCGCCAGAGCAGGAGCAGCCCTCTGGTCCACCGCCCTCATGGGAGCAGCCCTCCTGTCCACCGCTGAGAACCAGGGAGCCTCCTTATTTATTGCTAACCACGCATCATCTCACTTTAGAGGATACATCACAGCATCATGCATCACAGAGAGGGGCAATACAATTCACAACAACCTGCGTCATAGGGAGGGGTTGCAACATAGGCAATACAAGCAATAGGAGGGGGATGACCTAGTCATCTTAGAGTGGTCCCGGGCTTGCCTTTGG